CGCCCACTCCTCCCCCAGGACATCAAGGAGCGCGTGTTTGGCAAGACAGATGCTGCAAGTGCTATGGCCACCATCCTGTCGCGCGACCCCTCCTTTGACATGAGCCGCCTCCTGGCCGGGGTCAAGAAGGACGCACCCCTGGTGGGCAGCGCACATCCCCGGGGGGGGGGGGTGGTGGTGTCGCCCGGTGTTGACGGTGGTGTGCGCACAGACACAGACACGTGCACACACATCCAACACACACACACACACACACACACACACGCACGCACACACGCACGCACGCACCCACCCCTCCAGGTTGTCAAGGCGTACCTGACGCACGACCTGGCCACCCTGGGGCAGCACTGCGGCCCAGAGCTCATGGAGCGGTTCGCCGGCATCTTTAGGCACTTCCAGGCAGAGGTGCGGCGGGCGCGACGCTGATACGGGCCGCGGCACAATGTGCAGCGGGGAGGGGGGGGTGGTAAGGGCAGGAAAACAGGGGCAGAGCGGGGCCCCTCATGAAGGGGGATGATAGTACAGGTCTTGAGTTTTGTGCGTCATCGGCACCAGACACTGCGCAAGCGATAATGCCACTTGGTATGCCAAACCTCCCGCCCTCCTCCTCGTGCTCCCGTCACCCAAGCGCCCCCAAAATGCGACTTGCACGCCTCCCTCACGCCTTGTCGCGCCCGCAAACCTGCATTTCCTTCTGATTGCCTCAAAAAGTGTTACACACACACCACTATGCACGCAAGTGCCTTCAAAAGTACAACACACACACTTATATGCACACACACACACACACACGCACACACACACGCATACACACTGTTGCACGCACGCCCTTGTATGCACGCGCGCAACCCCCCACACACAGACACACACGCACGCAAGCATGCGCACGGGCACACAACCACACACCTCTTGTGCCCCCCCCTCCTGGCCCAGGGCCTGGTGGAGGACCCCACCATCCTGTTTGTGGGGGAGGTGGAGCTGGTGGAGCTCAAGGCCATCGACGACGAGCCCCTGGTGGTGGTGCAGTTCAACTGCCAGCAGATCAAGTGCATCCGCGACAAGTTTGGGAACGTCATGGACGGCTCCCCCAACTCCATCCAGAAGGTGTGTGTGTGGGGGGTGTGTGTGTCAGGGGGGGATGGGTGGTGATGGTTGTGAGGGGGTGTAGGCTTTGAAGATGCAAGTGCTGTGTTGTGTGTGTAAATACGAGAGAAGGAGAGAGAGTGTGTGTGTGTGTGTGTCAGTGTCCGTCTGTATATATGTGTGCATGAATGTGTGAGTGTGTGAGTGTGCGTTTACATGTGCGATGGGGGCAGTGGAGGCCGCGGCGTGCTGATCCGTTTGTAGGGCGTTCTTGCGACGCATATCCGCCTGCGACGGCACGAACGGCACACAGACTCCCTCGCTTGAAGGGTGGATGGATGAGGCGCCTCTTTCCATCCCCGGCTATGTGACTTGGTTTCCCCCACACGGCTTCGCCGCACCCCTGCCAGCTATTGCAACGCACCATTCCTGCATGCCGCTGCCGCCGCCAGGTGTTCTACTTCTGGGGGTTGCAGCAGGAGGCCCAGGGCACGGTGCTGCCCGACGGCCGCGTGCTGCCGCCGCGCTGGGTCATCAAAGACATGATGGTGAGGGGGGGGAGGGGGGCCCCTTGGGTGACGTACTCGGCGCGTGGCTGTGCGCTGCGGGGCTGGTGCCTGCGGGCCGTGTGCGACAGCTCCTGCGGTCTGTGTCCTTGTGGTTGTCTTGGGAGGGGGCCTGCAATGCCGACCCCTTGCACCCGCAGGTGGCTGCCGGCCGGCTGTGATGTTGTCGTGCCATGCAGCCTATCTGCAGTCCGCATGGACCGAGCCTTCAAGGGGACCCGCCTCGCCCCCCCTTTCGCAGTCGCAATCCATGCTGGCGCTTGTTTGAGGGCAGCAGTTCACAGCTGCGTCCACAACGGGGGCCGCCCTTTCGTTCGCACAACACAGTGCTTTGAGGGAGGTGCTTTCCCGCCCATGCACTGTTTGGAGCCGAAGCTGCCAAAGAGGGCAATGCCAAGATGGTGTGGCCTGGTGCAGGCCACGCGTCTCCTGCCCATATCGCGCGGCAAGTGCCGTGCAGCTCGTGGGTACATGTTACAAATATTGTGTTCAGCAGTGTTGCCAGAGCCAGCATGAGGCTCTGAAAAAGCAGGCTAGCAGCTTCATCATCAGTCACCCACTTGGGCGGTCCTGAAGCTATTCACAGGCCTATATGCAAAGAACTCGGGCTGTGCCACCTGCTCATCAGTGCCGTCTACTGTTTGCCTGAGGGTGTGTCGGATCAAAACAGTGCCGGATCGAAGCAGTGCACACGCATGCCAGCCTTGGGCTGCAAACGGTCCTGAGCCAAGATGTGGCTCGATGCCCGAACGATACAGCAGTACGGCCCCCCCAGCCCCAGAAGTGTGTCGCAGTGCAAAGCGGATAGCAGCAGCTATGCATAGCCCCGGGCGGTGCCACGCAAGTGGTGGATCAGTGCTGTCAACGCGCGCGCCGTCATACTGAGAGCATCACAGGTGGAAAGTGCATGTGGGTCTTTCGGGTCCGCCCCGAGAGAAAAAGCAGTAAAATCCCTGCCAACGGGATTGCAAAATGACGAATGTGTGTGTATGTGTGTGGTTGTGGGTATATGTGTGTGGGGGGGGGGGGGGTAAATGATTCGAGTGTGTGGGCGCCGCTAATGACGGCTGCAGCTGCCACACCCCACTTCAAAGCAATGAAAACGCCGCGCTCGACAGGCTGGCGGCCACTGCAAAGCATCATCGGAAAGGGGATCAATCAACCGTCAGAACTGCCGCCTGGCAGCCACGGCCGCGCAACCGTGCCGCTTGTCTCTGCCGTGCGAGCACAGTCAGCGCGCCAGCCACTGCATTGCCGGCCACGGCTGCTGCGCTTGGTGGGCCCACGCGTACGCGTACGCATACGCAGATGCGTCAGCCAGCCGCTGCCGCTTGCGCGCGGCCGCGGCGTCCGCCGCGCCGCTCAGCTGCTGCTCGCAGGAGACCAGCAGGCGCAGCAGCTCCGGCCGGCTGCGCAGCGTGCGTGCGAGGCTCTCGATGCCGCCGCTGTCGCACTCCTCGCCGCCCTCGTCCTCCTCGTCGCCCGTGCGCCGGCCGGCGGCCGCGTAGCGGCCGCCCCAGAGTGCACAGACCAGCAGGGAGCGCAGGGACCCCGACTCGGGAGCGGCGACCTGCTCGTCCCCAGGAGTCGCCGCCGCATTGCGAGCCCTTTCAGACGCAGCGCGCGGTCGCTTGCCCGTGGCGCCGCTGGCACTCGCGGCAATGCTGCTGCTGCTGCTCTCGTCGGATGCGTGGGCCGGCGCCGGCGCGGGCCATGACCAGCCGCCGGCCGCTCGGGGCGCCGTGCGCGTCGCCTGCACCGGCGCTCGCGGCTGCGTGCAAGGCTCCACAGGCCGCCGCAGCAGCGGCTGCTTGAGAGGTGCAGTTTGTTTGCGCTGTGCTTGACTTGACTTTAGCCGCGCAGGAAGCTGGAGCTGCCCGAGTTTGGAGGGTGTAAGCCCGGCCTGGTCGGCACACTGGGCGGCCGCCAGGCCGGCGGCCCATGCCAGCTCCGCGTGCATGGTGCACCCTCCCGCCGATGTACCCCTTGAACAATTGCTCCTGCTAACAGATGAATGGCGTGGGGCGAAGGGTGGGTTGGGCACAGGGGTTACCGGGTCTGGAGGAGGATGACACCTGCTGCGGCCGAGAACTTCGCGCCAACGGACTGCTGCGCACAACGCGGCGCAGCGAGGCCACGTCAAAGGCAAGGCGTGCGGCAAGCGGGGGTTGGATGAGTCGGGTGCACACCTTTCAGGGCTGTTGGAGTGCAGGGCCGCAGGCGCCAGCTGCGGGCAGGCGCCAGTCGCCGGGTGCGCCACACCGCAAGGGCAGGGAGCGGCTTGTGAGGGCGGCGCCACCGCTGCGGCGCCCCTACTGCCCGGACTGCTAAGGAAGACAGTATCCGTGCAAATGTTCCATTGTGCAGCCATCATTGCGTCTGAGACGCGAGTTGCTGCGTATTGGGCACGGAGGGCGTTGACAAAAGCTGATGGGAAAAGCGCACGTGGGAAGATGCTGGGAACGGTGACGCTCGCAAGGCGCGACAGTTGAGTGTGTGCCGCACCACACGTGATGCATGTCACTATCCAGTGATTCAATAATAAGATACAAAGCCAGCCTGGGGCTCTGAACCATGGGGAGCATGCTGTGTTATTGCAGGCGATGACAAGCCTCGTGGTTCGCACTGGGCGCCGCTTTTGGTGCGGGGTGCACGCCCGCCCGCACGCACCACTGCTGCACTTGTTAATATAGGCTCAATGTTGGTAGAAAACTTGAAATGCTGATACACGCGGCAAGTAAGCCTGATGAACCGGCAGCCCGCCCAGTGACCTGCAATAACCGTGAAATGTACTCTAGACGCGATTGATGTGATAGGAGCCGCGCAAATATGACAAAGAAGAAGTGCTCGTGGATTGGGTGAAGGCCACCACCGTAGCTGCCTCTCAATGAGTCATGCGCAGCGGCACACCTTTGGAAGGGCGGTGGTGCCCATGCCCTGAGCCGCACTGGTTGGCTGCGCTGCACCAGCCAACGGCAGCAGGCGACCCTGGACAGTGAACAGGCCGCTCCCCACCGACTTGAGACCCAGCTCACCCGCAAATCCTCTCAAATCATGGGTGCTCACCCTTGGCCACCGATTTGTCCCGCCACCGCCCGTCCTCCGCCACACAACCTTGCCCAGCCAGCCGCTTGACTCCCACCACTGCGTTTTGCAGGCTGACAAAGCGCAATTTGCTTGAATAAAGTAACTGCTGGAGTCCAAAGTCACCAGCCAGGGGCGTCACCCGACGCGTGGGCCTGGCTGGGACGCGTACTGGCGGCAGGCGCATGTCACCCAGCCGCGGAATGAGTGGCCAGGACTGGGCGTTCGAGAGCAGGCGGCCGCCGCGCCCCCCGCCGAGCCGCGCCGACAGGCAGTATTACCAGAGCCCATCAGGAGCGCGCAGCCCTCGCGGCGATCGGCCGGCCGTGGCCGCGGGCACCACACCGTCACCAGGGGTGACACCCTCAGGTCAAGTACGGTGGTGACCGTTCACGACTCGTTACACCCCGTCACATGGTCCGTGAGACCTGACACCGCCGCAGCCCCCCGCGGCCGCCACAACAATCACAGGTCTCCGATCACTCCCGCTTCTTTGCCGCGCCCGCAGCCGCCCGCGCTCTCTGCAGCTCGGCTTTGTGGGTGATGAAGACGCGCGCCGGCGGCGTGCGTGCGGGCACGAGGTTGCGGAGCATGCGCTCCCAGCCGTTGCAGAAGAGGACCGTGCACACGGCGCCTGCTATGAAGTTGGCTCGCAGCTCAGATGGAATCGGCACGAGGCCAAAGCTGCAGGGGAGGGCGGGGGCACGGCATATTGCGAGGCCGGTGGTCGGGCGAGGCGGGGCCGCCGGTCGGACCGCGGGGCACGTGACGGGTCGGCCAGCCAGGCCGAGGGTTTGGGCACGGCTTGGGGTGACGCTCGGGTGTGCTGCGACGGCAACCAGGGCGATCAGGGCAGCAGGCGGCTGCGGTCCGGGCGGCGCACCTGCACCTGCAAACGCACGGGTGCATACCCGCACACGAGTGCGCTGACACACCCACACTCACGCATCTACATGCACACGCGCACACATAAACACACACACACACACACACATGGTGTCCCCACGCGTGCGCCCCCACCTCTCGTTGAGCTGCGGCACCACCTCCAGCACCAGCAGCAGCAGGAAGCCGCCGGCGTAGGTGAGTGACATGCGCATGCCCCTGTTCTCGCGCAGCGACTCGTTGAAGGGGTGGCCCACGTAGTTGACCGCAAACGTCGACAGCTGGACGGTCTGGGTTGCAGGGGTGCGTGCATGCAGTTGCATGTGTGCACGTTTGTGCATCTTAATGTGTGTGTATACGAGGCGGTGGGGGATTCTTGCGATTCTGCATGTGTGCAGGCACATGCCTATTCGGGCGCGTGCACGCATGCGCGCTTGTTTGTGAACAGCATGCGCTCGGCGCGCCCCCAACTCGGCATCTTGCGGCCGCCCGCCATGTGCTGGCGAGGGCCGCATCATGCAGCCCCCCTGCCCTGCTTCTAGCCCTTCATTTATTGCCTGCAAGCCCCGTTAGCATGCAGTGGCGGAAACGAGGGGCGCCCATGCCCCCAGGGTTTCGGGGTTCAGGGAACCGGGATGGAACCCAACCACTCCGCCCCAAGGGTTCCGGGTGCAGGCATCCAACCCACAACACACACACACACACACACACACACACACACACGCGCGCGCGCTCCCACCTGTTCCACGAGGTAACACACGCTGTTGACGAGGTTAGGCTTGAAGTCGCTCTCGCTGTCCTGGGCCTCTTCCTCGGGCATGGCGCCCAGCGCGGCCCTGCGGCGGCGCGTTGGGATTTTTTTTTGGGGGGGGGGGGATGGGGAGGGGCCGAGGCGGCGGCGCGCGGCGGGAAGGCGCGGGTGTGCATTGTGGGCATCTGGCTGCGGGCTCACGGTTGCTTCTGGGCCCCGCGATGCGATGGAGGACGCCTGTCCTGTGAACCCTATCGCCGCCGCTCCACGCAACGCGACGAACAAGCGCCACCACCTGAATACCAGCCAGCTGTCCGCGAGCATGCGCAGACATGTCTTGCCCATGCAAGGCGGTGATGAGGCGGCAGCTCGATGCTTGGGGGGCTGCTGGCCGGCCATGGGCCACAGTGGATGCCCCACCTCGACAGACCCACCAACCTCAACCCAGCAACCCCTCGCGTACTCGACCTGCCACATCACCTCCAAAAGCGCCACCGCAAAATCCGGCCCCCGTGCACCCTCTGCGCCCAGCACCCGGCGCCACCTCTTCCCCCCCCCCCCCACCGGTACATGAAGATCAGGAACGCCAGCTGCGCTGCGAACTGCCCTATGAGGCTGCCAAAGAAGTAGAGGTTGAATATGGAGGGGTGGGGCCGAATGGGGGACAGCTGCTCCAGGGGCTTGGCATTAGAGATGAAGAAAAACATGCCCGCAGTCAGGACACCGCTCAAGGTGGCCTGGGGGGGCGGGCGGGAGGGTGTTTTGTGTGTGTGTG